TCACACCAACCTCAAAGAATCTTCAAGACAGAAGAAAAAACCCCAGGACTGTTCTCCACTTAATAAGACCTTATAAACTCAATCATCAAGAAACAGCTGTCAAGGAAAGGTATATATAGTAATAAAACAGAAAGACCAAATAAATTAAGTTACGTCACACCCTGTGCTGAACAGAAAGTAAAATACCAAACGCCATGACAGACCCCAATTGCTTCAGGGAGAAATAAGAACAGACAATCCAAAACAAGCAAGAATCCTAGAATCCACTCAACCTTTGCTTTAGACTCAAACATGTGTCGCAAAATAAAACATGATCAGAAACAGACTGTGACAGCTTGGCAGCTTAATTCAGTCCATGGATCCACGCACCCCTGCATAAGAGCAAATGGAGCCAATGTAAATAACGTGGCAACAGCTTTCAACAAAAACACACACTTTGGACTGCAAGTTGAAAAACCTCCCCAGAACCGATTTCTGAACAAGACAGCCTCCCAAACTCAACTGGAGATCACGAACATAAAGGAAGAAGATCCAAATGAGACCAAACGATCCAAATATTGAAAAGAGGCAACAGTAAGGCGACAGGAAACTTGCTTTATTCCCATATTTTGCACTTAAGATGGTAGAAAATTACCCATCAAGGAATACTTGGTCACGCCGGGCGCTGTGCTACGCTTATCTCACTCTTGGAGGCCGAGGCGGCGGATTGCTCAAGGTCAGCCGTCGAAACAGCCTGACTAAGAGCGAACCGTTCTACTAATAACGTAAGAAGAAATAAGTGCCAACGAATACTATATATAAAAATTAGCCGGGCATGTGCACATCCGTAATCCCAGCTACCCGGAGCTGAGGCATAAGGACACTTGAGCCCAGGAGTTGAGTCGTAGCTAGGCGACGCACGGCACTCACTCTACCTGCAACAAAGCGAACGTCTCAAAAAAAAAAAAAAAAAGAATACTTGTCAGGAATAACTATAAATAAGGCCCTAATAATTTTACTATATCCTGACAGATTGAAGCAAATATAAAAGTATTAAGACTTGCTAAACTAGTGCTGCATACATGCATCATAAATCATTCTCTTAATTTTCTGTATCTGAAGACATTTATTTCTTAAAAAGAGAATTGAAAACATAATGGATTGAGTTGATAAGAAATCAGGTGCATGCTGGCATGGGTCAGCCCTATAATTGTAGCACTTTGGAGACTGAGCGGGAGGGTCCTTTGAGGCAAGAGTTCAAGACCAGCTTGGGCGATATATGACATTGCTTCTACGAAAAAATAGACAAAATTAGCACAGTAACGCATGTCCTGTAATCCATCTACTCTGGAGCTAAGCAACAGAGGATTGGTTTGAGCACAGGGAAATTGAGCTGCAGGTGAGCTATGATAGCCATTGGTACTCAGCCAGTAAGTACTCTATCTCAACCAAAAAAGGTTGCAGACGTAGACTACCTTCAAGAAAGCCTCAAGCAAAGTACAAACTATTGATGTTCATAACTAAAAGTAGAAGATAGTCCTTGTCACAGACCATATCTAGTCAACAAACAAGTTATCGGAAAAGAAATGAAGCTTCCATGAGTCTCACCAGTCAAGTTTGAAAAATACTAAAGCAGAGAGGAACAGTCATTCCAAATACAAGTTCAGATGATAGAATCAGGATCTCAAGTTGCTGGCCGATAAATAGACATACAGGAATCTGAAATGACCCAAGGATTGTACACTTCACAACAGGACCAAGAACATTAGACTTCATAATAGTGAGTCTCCCGGAGAAGCCAGGTATGTATACCTTGTTGAAGTAGAAAATCAGGAATTGACAAGAGTAAAAGGAGCATGTAATAGATAGTTGCTAAACTGTCAGATGAATGAACAGCTTAGTCTCAGCTATTACAGTTGAAAGTATCTGCCTTCTATCTAAAGAAGCCATTCCAGCCCTGTTCTCGACACTCTACCCTGAAATTAAGTTTGTGTTTCTGCCTTCAGGAGGCAATTCTTGTTTGGGGGGTTCAGCTGTACCCGAAGACTTAAACCTGCTCCATTTCATCCTGTCAGTTTTTAGCCAACTATCAATTTTACATGCTCCTTTACTCTTCGAAATTTCCTGATTCGACTCAACAAGGTATAACATACATTCTCTCCTGAGACTCAACTCACATTAGGAACAGCTGGTCCTTTGTGGAAATGGTACGAAATCTGGCTCAGTTCAACATCCTGTATTTAATATTATGGCCAGCAATCCTGAGATCCTGATTGTCTATCATCTGAAGACTCTGTATTTGAACTGACTGTTGTCTCTCTATTTAGCTTATTTTCAAAACTTGGAACGGGAGACTCATGAAGCTTCATTTCTGTTTCTGAATAATTCGTTTTTAACTAGATCCACCTGGTTGCTTATATACAAGGACTATCTTCCTACTTCCTTAGCTATATGAACTCAATATCTGTACATTGCTGCAGGGCTTTCTTGAATGAGTAGCTACGTCTGCATACTTTTTTGTTTGAAGATAGATACTTACTGGCCT